AAATTATCCACTAAATAATTTACTATCCAACTAAGTGTTCTTTCACAAATATATGAAGTTCAACTTTGTATGTACACAAATACGTTTTCAAAATGTTTAGATTAATTTATAATATTGCCTATTTACATCATGAACCTATTCACATTTTTCCACATATTATATTAGTATATTATATACTATTATACTAATGTTATTATAACAATTGAATATTAATATTATAATAAATGTAATGTACATGAAATTACAATAATTAAATTAAATCTAAAACCTAACTGTAATACTCAAAGTAAAATAAATTACTTCAATAGCAATATGAATTATATTTAGTAGTATTAATAAGATACATGCAATATTTTATTAATGAAAAAATAAAATATTTTTTTTTTTTATTTAACACACAATTATAATGACTTACTCAATGAAATGACAAGGTACACTCGACATATACCGATGAGTTGGTAAAGTGGCTATCCTGCTACCTACTTTCCTCTTTTTTAAAATTTAAAGGAATCAGAATGATCAAGTTGTTTGAAACATTTCGTGATATCATTAAATAGTCAATATTATAATATATAAAATTATAAAGTGAAAAATTTAGATCAATTACGGGTTTCAACGTTAATTCTGATTTCAGTCATAGTCTTATTATAATTTGATATACAATTGGGCAGAAGTTGACTGAAAGATTGTAATTGAGTCTTTCTGTTGAAATATTGATAAAGTATCAATTCTTTTTATTAATAATATAATAATTTATAATAGCTATAAATTACTTAAGTTAGGTACTGATACATACATTTTAAGTATTTATCTAAATCTGTACTTAATGCTGCAGTAACAAATTATATATTATGTTTATTAAGATTTTAAATACTTATTAGTGAAATTATACAAAAAATCTTTTTTAAATATTATTATTTCATTGTTTATTAATAAAAATAGATTTTAGTTCAAATATTGATGATTAAATAATATGTAAGAAAATAATTATTATCGCAAAGAATAATATCGCCGATTAAACTTATCGGTATAATATAATAATACAAAAAGTTACGGAACTCAAAATATATTTTCAAGATAAGCACAAGGTCATTATTGTGTCATAATATATGATATATAATTATCATCATTTATTGTAAATGCTAAATATAAAATAATTATAACTAACAATTTTATTTTGAAATGATGATACACCAAATTATAATATACATTTCACAAAGTAGTAGTACAATATAAGTAATTATTTTAACCATAAACTATGAGTTTAAACAAAAATATAGTTAATAATAATAACACTTATATTATTATATCATTACTTTTTTATACTGGACGGATATTATATTGTTTAAAGTTTTATTTCTTCAATTAACTAGCATATTTCAGCGGGTTTATGGTGTAAATATTTACAAATAACGTTTTCTAAGTTATTTTTTGCTTCGGCTTGTTCAATTTCATTATATACCTGAAATGTAAACAATTTATGGATTAAAGATGCAGATGATTCAGATTAATCAATTAACCACGACTGTATATGATTATTTTATAGTCAAACTTTTAAATAAGTGTCATCAACGACATCAACATACCCCATTAATAACAATAGAAGGAATTGATGCAGATCGTGGTAAAACGCTCTGTGTCCGATTGCAATATTGAACCATTAATGAATCGCTGAATTCTCTATTCATAAAACATTTCTTTATCTTGCCGTAATATTCATCGTACAAGCCCATATTTCTCGTACACTAAAATTAATACGAAAATAAGAAAAAATATATTTTTAAATAATTGTAATTTGTATAATGTTATTTATACTATAAAAACTGAAATTTTATGCTTTACATCACAAATTATCATTTTTATTTTAGAATTTCATAATAATAATAATGCTTATAGGTTATCTATCACCAAACGCTTATTGAATTTAACGATTTAAACTTTAACAAAATAGTTACATCTATTTTAAACACTCATATTTATACTTTTAATCAATTTTCCAGTTAATATTGACAAACTATAGAATATTATTATAAAACAACGATATTTTATTATAACATAGTTTTAATAAGTCGATTGTAAAGTATGAATTGATTACAAACGAATGATTTTATTATAAATAAACTTAAGTATAATACATATTAACATATATTTAGAGAAAAATAGTAAAAGACTTTTATTGTTTAAACCATTTTTAACTTTAAAGTTAATCGGGAAATGTATTTATTTTTAATGAAATGATGTTTTATTTTTGATTAGCGATTTATTGATTAATTATGTAAATTTTCTAATTAACTCAGCGATTTTCTTGAACATAAAAAATTATAACTACTGCTATTTTTCGAAAAATATATATGTATGTACGACAAGTACAGTTTTCATAGAACTCAAACTTCTTATTTTTCAAGTGCGAGGATATAATGTTGCTAACAAATAATTAAATTGAGATTATACTTATACATGCAGTTTTAATCGCTAATAAAATATTAATTATGTTCTTTACATTTATTTAGGAAAAAATGCCAAAATATAATACCGAATTGTACGAGTATAAATCATTATAAGTAATAATGTAAATTATGAGTATAAAACATAGACATGTAAGTTTTTAGGCATTTTATATGTAATTTTAACCATTTTTTAAAAATAAAATCTTTTTAATATATTTTTCAAACAAAAAATGAGTTAATAATAGATGGTATAGAAATTAGAAGGTTTTATTTTTGGAAACTTGAATTGGTATATACAATTTTAACAAACTATAGATGAATGTATTGTTTGATATTCTAAATGATATAGTTGTTAATCAACTATTAATTCAATTTCCAATTCTTGTTATTTAATTATCTATTTATTTGAAGAATAGTTTGATTGAAAAATGTAAAATTTTAATAAAAAAAAACCATTTTATGTGAAATTTAAGATCGTATCTGGTTTCTATGATTTTCACCAAATTAAGTTATATATAGTTACACTGTTGTAGTATATTGAATATTATTCAATTGAATTTAAATATATATAATTTACGAAAATTTCACCTACTAACCAAAATAAATTACTATTTTAGTAAGTTATCAGAGTACCTACTAAATTATAAAATTATAAAATTATATAAGTAATTCTTACTTGATATCCCGAATGCACTTCACTTGTAGAACTCATGTAACAAACTAAATAATTAGCCAATATTTGCAGTTTGGATGGTAGTACATGAATGCTACACGCTTGCCATTTATTTTTCATACATTCAGTCAATCCATTTTGGCATTTAAAAAACCATTTTCCTTCAAATAATTTTTTCTGTAATGTTTATAATAATATATATATATATTAAATTTAAAATTTAAATATATATATTATTTAGTTCCAATTATGAAAACAAAACATAAATTATTTTCATTACACAATGATCTTGTCCAAAAATTGAATAAATGATTTATAATTATTTAAATAGACAATAATTATCAATTAAACTTACATCGGCATTTCCAAAAGGCACGAAATCAAAGTTGACATATTTTTGAAATTTCACTAAACTTGGTCCTATTTGATTTTTGAATAAATTAACAGAATCTGAGCACAAACTGCCGTAGTATATTGACACAGTTATTTTCTGAAAAAAAGTAGTGCAAATATTAGTTTTTTTTTTTTTTTAATCTTCCAAAATCAATAATTATAGCATTAGATATATTATTTCACTCACGGGTACAGAATTTTGATTTTCAACGTGAGGCACATCGTACAAAGGTTTTATCAACACTTTTTTAGCACCAGCTAAATCCATCGAACTAGTTTTAGTAATTATTACTAATAAAAATATGACGGAAAATACAGTACTAGCAATCATTTTAAGGATAACTTATTACAACCTATGCAACAGTCGTACTTAGTAAAATTATTAAATGACTGTAAAACCGTTTTAGTCGTACCTATATAACCACACAGTATGTTCCTCGTTCGTTTATCTACAAATGATTATTTATGTGTATGTGTAGGTATGGGTACTCAAGACATTGTACTTTGTATACTATTATGCTTATAATAATAGGAATAAATCATGTGTTTAAGATGAAAGTATACCTACTCTCATAATATTAGATGATATATTTTTTTTTATCTTAAGCGGTTAGGTATTTAATTAATAAAAATCATAGTGTTAAATTACGCATCCATTAAAGGCCATATACCTACATGATTACATGATATTATATTGATAACAATAAATACAATCACAAAATTAATTGATTCTTTTACAGTCTGTTCGAGATCCTACCTCCACCTAACTACTCCACTCCTAATAACCATGTCAATTCTTAAAATTTAAGACTTTATTTTACACTATACTGTTATATAGCCTTTATATTTTATATAAGTATACTTACTATTTACAATTGAATACATTAATGACACATCACTATATATATATATATATATTTAATAATTGTGACATGTAAACAGTGTTTAGCTGCTGCCCGCTAATACTTCAATGAACGATTATAAACATAGAATGTTTTTAAGACTCAAGTAGGCACCTACTCAACATTTGAATGGTTTAGCAAACCACTTGACATTATTTAGAAAAACTATAAATTAAACATGTGTATAACTATTTCGACTATTGAAGTTATAATAATAAATATTCATGCATACAAATGTAAAGAATTATTGTCACCAGTTTACTAACGATTTGTTTTTCAGTAGTTTTATTAAAATAAACAAATTATTTTTGTGACGTTTAACTTTACATTAATAGATTAATATGTTATAATGATTTGTCACTTTAACCACCAAATAATATGGTCAACGCTGAATAGCTCAGTTATAAAACGGTTTTCTATCAGTAGAGTTGCAAAAAAAATCAAATGTTTAACGCCCGTAGAGAAATTGTATTTCAAAGGCACCGGCGTAAGTCCAAAACAAAAAGTTTTAAAATTAAATCGTTATTACTACCTAATAATAATTACTTACGTGAATTTTCATCGATCACAAGTTTACATGGCATAATGTATTTGGGTGAACCTAGAAGACCTCTATTAGAAAGGTGAGCAAAAATAATAACCAATAACCAAATTTACCAAATAATGGTGGCAAAAAATTAAGGTAATGAGAAAAATGATTACAATACACCAGTCATTACCATTTATTCATTGTGTAACATTATTTATAATTTGTGCGTATTATAATAGTGTTTAGTGATAATGTTTATACCTAGTAATAAAGTTACCGTCAGCATAACCATACAAAAGATCAATATATTTATACTAATATTTAAAATAAATATTGTCATCATTATTCGTACGAATACCTTAAACTTATCAAATTTAATAAAATAAAATAAAAGTTAGATACAGTAAATTATGACATTTGTAACCAAATTCATTTAACATTTTTTTAATAATTTGAAGATAATAAAATTATCCATGATTGAAACCGATTAAGAATAGTTTAAATATGAATAGCTATAATTTAGGATGTTGAGGTGTTATAAATTAAAATTTTAAAATTCCTATTTACGTAAACAATAGGAATTCTTGATGTTAAATCGCACAGTCTTTCGAAAGTAAAAACTAATTGTAGTGGACATTTTAGTAAAAATTGTTTTAACGACATGATACATATGGTTCAGGTTTATTATAATTTATTTTTATAGAAAAAATTATGAAGATTTATACCTACTTATAATATATTTATGTATGCATATTGAAATCAAAACTTTTAAAATTTGATTTTATTGGTAATATTTGTTATTCTCAACTGTTTTAGATTAATATAATAATATATAAGCCTACATGACATGATAATATAATATTTAATGAAATATATTATACTCTATAGGCTATACGCTTATAATTTGTTTATCTGTCTTTATATTTCTATATATAATCTATTTAAATGCAATCATGTGGTTTGTAATAATTATTTTCTTATCATTTTGTTTTAAAAGTATATTTCTACTCGGGATAATATTGTTTTATGTTTATTTTTTCTTATATTATAACTTAATGAGTTAACCTTATTAGTCAAGTTGCATCAGTAAGTCAAAATCATGTCCAAATCAAGAAAATAATGAGACTCCTTTTTATTAAAATATATAAAAACATGTAATATACAAAATACAATTTCGGGGGGGGGGGTGTTACAAAATATAGTAATACAAATTGTACCACAACATAATAAAACAATTTCTTCCTCGTTACTCATTGTTTTTTAATATGACAATAATTATTATGCTAAGTATCCAAATTGTATGTATGTCATTTGTTCAGAAGGAAGTTTATAAGAACAATAATAATAATAATAAATAAAACTTTAAATGTTATAAACAGAATAGACATTTATTTTATTAGTACCTATGCACATAAAATTACCTAAGTATATTATACTATTAAGTATCTAGATAGAAGAAAAAAATCAAATAATTTTTATATAATACATTAAAAAATTACAAATTAAAGAATGAAATCCCATTTTCGTGGTAACTTAACAAATCTATCGATAATTTCTATCACATTTAAATCAAAATTTCGGTATATGTTTAGTAGTGCCAATCCAGTAAGTCTAATTTCTCCTATATTGTTTCAAAGTATGTTTTAAATTTTTATAGAGTTGAGAATGACAATTTTCAGTAACAGTTGTAACAAATAATGTGGACAAAATGTACCTTACAGTATTGATTTAATAATACATAAATTAGCAATTTAATAGGAATTTTGGTCATCGATTGAGATATAAGAAAAGATTATTGACAAAATGTGAGTTTTCTTGGTATATAAGACTTATATCGCAATGTTCACTTCTCACACATGCGTAATTCTCAGTAATCAGTTATCATTTCATTCGACTATAATACTAGATTATAAACTTGTATTTCAAAAAAACAATATTATTAAATAAATTAGTTTAATATTGAGCATTAATAAATTAAGTTATCTATCTAATCGTATTGAATTTGGATAAAACTGATTTCTTTAACAAACAATGAAATTCATTTAAAAATGATTCTTTAATTTGTAATTTTTATTTTTTTTTTTTTAATTTGGGGATTTTTTATGGTATTATTTATATTATATATTTTACAGTAGGTATATATATTTTTAATGTCGTCAATTTTCTAGGATTTTTTGGATTGGTGTTATGTCTTTGGTGATGTCCCTATGCGGTTTGCAAATTTATCAATTGTACAATAATTGGTTGAGTAGTAGAACGATATTGACATTGGATAACAATAAGTTTAGCATATGGGACCTGCCGTTTCCGGCAATTACGTTCTGTAGTGATATTCAGCTTCAACATATCGATAACAGAACACTCGGAAACGATACGTTTAATAAGTAATAATAATAATCATCTTTAATATCGTTAGTGTATTATTATTGATTTTAGAGAAACCGAAGATGTAATAAATTTATTGTGTAATAAGTTTGAACTTTATAAAAACGTGACTTTACAAAGAATTGATTCAAAAAGTTGGGAACACGTCATTAAGGTAAGATAAATTGTATTCAATTTTTATTATTTGTTAAGTTTTTTATAAAAACATATCATATTTTATATAAAGTATTTTTAAAAGATATTGTAATTTAAACATGCGATTTTGATGTATTTGCATTATTTTCACATATATAAAAATGTTACTTTGTAAGTAGAAATTATTTTTGATTGACGATACTTTCTTCTTTTTTTAACGTGTTATTGATTATTTGGCGTTTAAGAGAATTTTCAATTTTTTTTTTTAAGCTTAATATTATTATATGAAATTTTAACTTGTATTTATTAAAAACATATTTAAACAATATTTATTGTATGGTATACTTAGGCGTGTTCTTAATTATTAACCAAATGTTAATCAATTTCATAGATAAATTAATCAACTACTTTAAAATAATTTTTCAAATATTAATAATAATATTTTCAAGACATAATATTATAAATAAAAATCACATTTTTATTATATTTCTATATGTAGTGGGGAAAGGTTTTTAACGCATTGAATATACCAATCTTTAATTATTGTTATGTAAATATAATACAGTATAATACTCATTGTTTTTAAACGAGATGAGTAATACGTAGCAGAATAATACTTATGCATTTTACTTTTACTTCAAGAACCACAAAATTGGCTGTAAAAATTTGATTCCGATGTTACTTTGGATTCAAGACGAAATACATTCGCCTTGCAATTATATCCAACCGATAATAACATCATACGGTCTGTGCTATTCAATAAATATGATTCCTCATCATCAGTTGCTGCATGATAATTATCTCTCATCGTAAGTATTAGAGTTGTATAGGTATTTAGTATCTGCATCGTCATTATTATTAGCATATGGCTCCGGCATAAATAGTAAAGACTAAAAACATAATTTAACAATAGGTAATAAGGGCTAATAAAACTAATGAAATAAAACTGAGGCTAATATAAAAAATAAAAGACTAAAATAAATTAAAAATGAGAGATTACAACAGGATAAAAAATAAATAAATTAGGTAACAAAATTGGTAACATATGGCACTTTCCTCTCTCCGATTAGACTTGGACTAGATCACAGGCACACATCTAAATTTTCCATCCACTTGATGGCATCATCGCTATAGCCATAATACAAGTATAACAAATATAGGATTTAGGAGTGGAGAGGGTGTAGGAAGTGTAATTATTATTTTTTAATTTTAGGAGAAAATATTCAATCTATATCGTTAACATAATACGTATATGTGAGTTAAGGAAAAAAAAGAACATGTGTTATTTAATTTGAGGAAAGAAGCAACTTAGCGATAGTACTTTCAAAACCTGTTTATCTTATTCTAAATTTGATTATATAGGTTCTGGTTTTATCTCTACTTGAGACTCGATTTAAAGGAACACAAAAGCCATATGATGTACTTAGTATACCTAGATATTAGTCAAGATATTATTATTTTTTTAAATCTATTTTCTCTTTTATATAATAAAAAATAAAAAGATGATTTATAAATAGCAATTTTTTAAGAAACCTCTAATAAGTCTAATATTAGTAGTTATACACCGATTTTCTCAATCTTAAATCCAGCACTGAGTATATGAATAAAATATTATTTACTCGTACAATAGATCAATTCAAATAAATTCATTCAAATATTGAATATATCACGTACTAATAATATTGTATGTCTGGTGCAGAACGTCTTTTTTGAACTCGACACGAGTCGATAGCATAGCAAATAAAAACCAAACCGCTTGGACCCCTGAAACTGGTTACAGACAGAATGCAACCCCGTTTGACATACCATGGAGAGTGACGGGTGACACCGTAGACAATGCGGTTCGGTTGATTTTTGATTTAGCGAACAAGAATCTAGGAGACTACTGTCCGAAAAGAGATTCTGGACTTACGGTATAATGATAATTGTCGTATATTTTATTTGATTTAGTATTTACCATATTAATTATATTTTTCAACTTGATTGCTTCATTATAGAAGTAAGACTAGCAAAACATGCGCAAGGCATTTATAAATATTCATATTATAAATGAAGTCCAATAATATTTAAAATGAATTGCAGTTGTTTGTTCATAGCCCGGCGGATGTTCCAGTTGGAATCCAACCTACAGCTTACGTTACCGGTAGTAGTTTGTTGTCTGTCGCATTATATATGACTATTATACGTACCTCATATAAAATCAATACATGGACACCAAAACTTCGGAATTGTTATTTTCAACATGAAAAAAAATTAAAGTTTTTTAAAATCTACACACTTCACAATTGCGAAATTGAGTGTAGAGCCAATAACACGTTTAACATATGCGGTTGCAACGCTTATTTTCAGCCAAGTAAGTATGTTTTATCCCACACTGATATATATATATATTTATATTTATATAAACGCTTATATTGTATTTTAATACTTGTGAATTGCAATATAACAATAATGTTATTTTACAGGAGATCAAGAAGTTCCAGTTTGTGGTTCAGAATATTTAGAATGTATCAGAGAATCCTCGACTATTGGTGAATTTTATATCTTATTTTATTTACCTTATAAAATTATATTTTAGGTATGTATATTAAAATATGTGAGTTTCAGGTTATTCGATTTTTAACAAAACACTAAACATGTCAATTAATATTAAAGATTGTAATTGTTTGCCATCGTGTACAAGTATTCAGTACGAGTATGAAACTGTGGAATTTTCTAGAAATTGGTCAATAAATTCTACAAAATCAAAACTGTAAGAAATAGTTGAATCATACTAAAAAAATTAATTAAATATCTAATTATTTTGTTGATATTATATTTGGATTTGATGTAGAGTCCTCACTGAAGAATCAACTTTAGTAATGATTTACTTTAAAAGGAAATATGTTATTGAAGTACTAAAAATTCCATTGATGCCATTCAACGAACTATTAGGTATACCTAATCATCCTCGAACATTTTCTATTATTTTAATTATTTACAAAACATTTTTTTTTTTTTTTTAGGTAATATAGGTGGTTTGTTTGGATTATTTCTTGGTTGCAGCATAATCAGTTTCTTTGAAATATTATATTTTTTTGTTATACGATTATATTTTGATCGACGAAATCGTAAAAAAGCCAAATCAAAAATAATGCCAAGTTTTATTCTTAAACCATAAAAAAAATATTGCAATAAGTTCCTATATTAAATACAAGTATAAAAATTTCCATAGATATCTAAAATTAGATACCAATATAAATATACAGAGTATTTTTTATTATAGGTGAAGTACTATGTATTTATTTAAAAATATAAAAACTACCTAATTTTAAGTCATTAAAAAATAACATTTTTTTTACTTTTTTTAATAAAAACATACATTTTTTATTTCATATTCTGAAAAAAAATATTTACAAAACAGAGTTTAATGTATAAAAATAAATTTTGAACAAGTAGTTTATTAGTTATAAACATTTAAAATTTAGATGAGCATTACATGAGATTATTTGAAGCGGAAAATTTGAAAATTGTATTTATATGTTGTTATTCAAAATAGTTAAAATCTTTATAAGTTAATGATAAGTAATAACATAACAATGATAAAAAGTAATAAATTATATAAATAGTTTAAAAAATATTGTTTTTTAATTACTTAAAATCTCAGGAGAATTTATTTTTAAAAATATTTATACTTCTCTAAATGTTGAATATCTGAAGTTCAAAAAACATCTTGTTATATATGAATGATCGCACACAATTAATCAAAAAATTAAAATCTATAATTATCTGAAGTTAATCTTCACATAATATTTTCACACATAAATATATAATCCATAGTATGTTTTATCTTATTTATTATACGCACATTCAAAAATTAATCACGGTATTTATGCAATTTTGTGTAGTTTTATAGTTGTTGGTACCTAGGTATAAATATAATGAAAAAAAAGTAAGAATATATTTTATTAGTTCATATTTCAATTATTTTTCGTTAATAATGATTATATAGGTATAAGCAGCGGAAAACATTACAGAAAATAACCACATAATATTTTACTATACTTTTCAATGACATTAAAAATGTATTTGTTCTATCAATAATAAACTTGTTTTTTTTACATTTGCACTATTAAATTATCATGAACTGTTGATGTTAATATAATACAATATATTTCAACAATCGATTAATTTTGGAGTAAAGTTTATTTTTCAAATTGATACCTTTAACTGTAAGTTATAGTCTCCTACAGCTATATTATTGACAAGAAATAATAATTAGAAGCGCTACTTGATTTACGGTTATTGTAGTAAAATATTTAAAAAAAATAATAAAAACAATGATCGAAATAGTTTAACATGAGTTAAGCTGTCACAAGTATAATCGGGATAATATCACAGTATCAATGATATTTATTATTTTATTTCATTTATTCTATGGTATAACAACGATAGCAATACCAGAACTTTTTTGCTGGTCAATTTTTTTAAATTGTAAAACTTAAAGAATATGTTTACATTTTTAAAAATATTTGTATTAGTATTATTAAAGGTTTTTATTATAATTTAGTTTATTGCATAATATTACACATACTTTGACAGACATACGCTTATCGGATATTTATATATTGCATTGTACAGATTCAATATCATTCTTTTTTTTTTAATAATAAATAATAATATATACATTCTTAATAATTTTAAAAAGATTTTATGTAATATTTTGGTTCTCTGTGTATTATATTTCTTATTTAAAGTTTTACTTGGCTCACAAAAATATGCTGCAATAAAAGCAGAACAGTAAAATAATAATTAACATGATGTACGTACTTTAGATACTAAATACATAAATCAAATAAAATACACTGATTAATGATTACAAAATAAAATAATATAAGTCATAAGTCATTTGTAGGATTCGGTACCTATACGATACGGGTTGTTTATATTTTATAAGATGGTAAATTAATCATTTGAGACTAGCTATAGACCTATTATTATCTTGGTAACTGTGACGCTGCATGAATGATGTGCTGTTTTGGCAATAATGCATATTTTTTGCGTCAGACACAAGACGAAGCTTTTTATTCTATAGTAATTATTTATACAGTTTTTATAGTATTATTATATTTACACTTAGCGATTTGATTTATCCGAAAACTATAAATATTTCAATTTATTTTAATTAGTATGTTATGAATAATTATGATAATATATACAATGTATGTGTGTAATGTTGCAATTTATTTATTTTATGTGTACCTATATTTTTATAAAATTATAATTTATTTATTATGTTAATAATTTATCTATGAAAATTATGCAATATTTTTGTAACAAAAGATTAAAATTAAAATAATAAGTAATATTTTAAAATTAATATAAATGTGCAGTATTATTTTTTTAAATTCAGGAACATAGGTTATACATCAATCTATAATTAATCTATAGGTAATAATTAAAATTACACTATAACATAATAAGATGATAGGTATGTATGATTAGTTATCATACATTTACATACTTTGCTAAAATATTAATAACTAGAGTAGGTTAGAATTTTAAAAAAAAAGTAAACCAACTGTACCTACCTATGCACTGTGTTCATTTTATACTTTCTAACATAATATAAAAAAATGCATTTTGTCCATTTTGTAGTTTCCTATCAAATGTATATTGTTATTTTTATTAAAAAAATATATTATAATTCCTTTTATCTGATTATTTAAAAAAATACTGTATTGAATTATTTGAATTATATAATACAATGTGAATTAAGTGTTAAAAAAACTACACAGTTAATTTATTTACCATATACATAACTTTATAAGTTATTAAGATATAAATACAAATATACTTGATTATACTAAACATTAAAAACTTATTTTACTCATCAACATTCACTTTTAGCTCTGTCTGCCACTTATCAGATGTCCAGTATAATTTAGTAATGAGTTGTTTACTATTATCATCGAGACACCAACTTTTTCTTTTTTCGCAAAAACGAAATTATAATATTCCTTTTTTATTTAAAATAGTATATTTTTTCAATTATTTTTGATACAATACTAAAAGTGACTAATATAAAAAAAAATGTTTATTAGTAGTTGAGAATAGTTGTAACAGTCAAAAAAAATATGTAATATACAGTACAAGACTTTAAGATACTATTGGAATCCTACGTAGATGTTAAAAAAGATCTATAATGAAAATTTATGTACAAGTGTTATTTTTTAGATTATATTTTATCGTGTAATTATATGCTAAAAATAATATAACTCATAATATTTATTCATACATAGATAGTGATAGTTTGACGAGTCAACTACTTTGAAATATCAAGGAATAATGTTAAGAGCTTTCCTATTTTAATAAAATAAATAACAATACATAGGTATGTTAAATTCATGTAAATCGCAGTTAAATACGTGAATTTAATATGAAGTATACAGTAATTACTAAAATTATTTTTAACTATGTTTATTATTCGTATTACAACTATTTAAAAATAATAAAAACCTTCTTTGCCAATAATAGAATAATATTTTGGGAAAAAACATTTTTTTTTTTAAATACCATAAGATACATAGCCGAAAATTAGTATCGGTGTATGAAGTATATCTAATGGCTACTAATAAAATATTACCGACAATGTAAATGACATCAAGTGAAATTTATTATAAAGTAATTACACTGATACCTTTAACTAGTTTTTTTAATCGTTATGATGCATATATTACTTTCATGCATTTTTATAAAAGTCTGTGAACTATTATAATTATATTATCGGTGTTCTGACTATGGTACATATGTGATATGTAATATATAATATGACAATATTGAATAATGCACAGTTTCATCGATCGTTACACATCTACCTTATCATAATATATTAAATTTAATTGATCTATTATGTAGATTAAATTATAGTATTAGGAATTTGTATGTATATAATAGATGCTAATTATTATTGGCCCTTGGAAAGACCGTGTTAAAGAGTCTATATATTGTATATATTATTTACAATTAAAATTATATTTTTCGACAAATATATGATACCTAATCATTTGTTTGAAAATATATTTAAAAAAGTATATAATTATATATTGTATAGTATATTATCATAGCTATGATGGTCATTGTTAATGATTACTCAGGGTCACATATACATGTTAATGGTATTTATTTATTTATTCTTTTATTTCTTTTATTTGTTTACAACATAACAGGTATTAATTTAATATTTAATATAATATAAATGTATATCAGCAGTAATATTACTGATTTAGTTTTGTTGACCTGAGCTGTTAGTATAAATATAAATAATACTATAATAAAAATAATATTAATATTATGCATATTTATGCACGTTTACTTAAGTTGATAAGCTTAGTTAATATTAAGCGAACATATTTTTTAAGTTTTAATAAATCAATACTAGAGCTGCAGGCTGCCACTACCCACTTATAATAATATAATTATTTATTATTTGTTAATTTATTTTTTCATAAGATAGTTCAAAATTAAAACAAATTAATCAAATATTTTGTTATCATCAATAGTCTATAATTATATTATATACACGCAGTAACTTTATTATTTGTTAATAGAACTCTGTATTTTTTTTTTTTTACATTATTCTAAAGATGCAATATTTACAAACGCAAAAAAATTATTGTTATATGAATATCTTTTTTTTAAATTTTAAATGCATCATAAAATCATTAGGTAATATTTATAAGAAATAAAATAAATAAATAAATAATTGACAGATAAACTAGCAACTGTGAACTTAATAATTTTTATAAACAATAATTTTCTATTTTTAATATATATTATATATTATTTATTCATTTTATTTTTTTATTTAAATAAAAATATATAAGAAATAAAATGTATTATGAATTTAAAAATAATCTTAGTAAATTAATTGCAAAATAGCAGACAATATATTTTTTTAAATAATGTATTTAAACAATAGTGCAGCATCCTATATTAGCTAAACTTGTTCTGGGAGAGCGAGCAGTTTTTATGTATTAAATTTATTCGTATGATAATATATTAGACATTAGTATTAATTAAAATTAAATTATAGAACAATATTAAAATCTAATTATAAATATGATAAAAAAGAATAACAAAAATTAAGTGTTTGCAAATATTATATTT